GATAGAACGTGACCCGATATAACACAAATTCGGATATAACGCGGTAAAGCAGCGGGGAGCCCTGGGCCCTTTAAAGCGCCACCCGAGCCCCGCTGCTTTACCGCGTTATATCCGAATTCGTGTGGAGCCCCGGGCCCTTTGAATCACCGCCCGAGCCTGGCTGCCGGAGCCCCAGGGCTCTGGCAGCCGGGCTCAGGCAGTGATTTAAAGGGCCAGAGGCTCTGGCCACTGCGGGGAGCCCCGGGCCCTTTAAATACTCACCTGAGCCCCGCTGCCAGAGCTCCGGTGGTGATTTAAAGGGCCCGGGGCTCCCCGCAGTGGCTGGAGCACCGGGCCCTTTAAATCACCACCGGGGAAGCTGGTTCAGTCCAGCATGGCATACCGGCTCTTGCCGGTACACCGGACCGGACCGAACCCGATATAACGCGGTCTCACCTATAAGGCGGTGAGATTTTTTTGGCTCCCAAGGACCGGGTTATATCTGGGTAGAGGTGTACTCCCACAACAAACTAACATACCAATTATATTTTGAAATTCATAAGTAAACCACCCAAAACACAGATTGATGACAATCTAAGTGATCATAACTAGCATAATAGGACATGGTAGTCAGTCCATAAGAATGGTGGGAAAATAATTTTACTAACCATTTGATCCACATTGTTCAGACATGTTCACATCATCATGAAAAACATTGCCTTCTGAGGAGCACTTTATGTAATGTTTCATTCTGACAATCAGGCCTTGCATCTCTTTACATTGTTTACATTTGGCACCTGTTCCATTTTTACCAGAGGTATAGCAATTTCCTGAAAATTATTCCCAAATAGGGTCTTTTTATGATCTGAAACCAGTTTTTTCTCCAGTTCCCAGGTGTTGAAATCAAACCTACACATTGCACTCTGAAAAATGTTGTCCCTTCTTCCCATAGTGCTCTGCTTTGATACCAGTATTGCTCCTTTCTGGTTGCATGCCTTGCTCCTTCTCCCTTGTTACAGAACTCAACCCCCAGAAAAACAAAAGACCTTACAACAATGCAAGACTTCTGCCCATGTAACCCACAAGCCTTTTGCACTGCAGTATTTTATTTCTTTGGAGACAGAGAGAAGCAGTTGAGAAACTAATGGATTTCTGTTTGTTTGTATCTGTCTGTGTATACCTGCAAGGAGACAGAGCAAGGCCATTTACCTGAAGTGCCCAGAACCATCCAAAAGCAAGAGCTGGTAGTTACTGGACAGATCATTGTTTTTTCCCATGAGCTGGAAAGTAAGTTTCCATAGTGGATGGATTCATAAATATTCATAATTTCAGAACTGTGCCAATCAGAGCTCCTGTAGGAAGAAGCTAGAGAATAGGGGTATGAGACCACCCAGGTGTAGGGTGACCACCCATCCCTAATTGGGTGGGACAGTTCCGAAATGTACATTTTGGAACTGTCCCACCCAAGTCCTGGTCCCAGGCTGAATGACTCCAGAATAGCATTTGTCTTGGATTCCCTTTGGCACCGCTCTGCGCCTGCCCGTGCTCGGGGTGGCAGCAATCTCTTCCTGGTCAGGGGGGTTGAGGTGGGCCTTAGCACGCCTAGACAAGAGACCCCATCTCCTGCTCCTCCTCCTTCCCCCAGGGGGAAGAAGGAGAAGCAGGAGTGGGATCACAGATGGGGGCAGGGCTCCTGCATGTGTCCTGTTCTTGCATTTTGAAAACGTGGTCATCCTACCCAGGTGGGCTCAATAGATGATCCTGATGAGATAGCTGATGGTATCTTCTGGAAGCAGAGGCCTAGTTCCAACAACTGTGATGAATTTGCCAGACTGTTGCACCCAATACACAGCCCCTAGATCCCCCACAGGATCAAGCCCTTAATACAGTATATGATCTATAGTACCATATTTAGAAAATTTGACCTCTGAAGTTAGATGTTTTCCCCCTGATTATTTCTTTATATAGAAAAGCAGCCTTTAATTCAGTATTTTGTTAGAGACTTATGGATTCAGCATATTTATTTTTATTTAAATGTTTTAAGAGTTGCTTATAAATTTAGGTCTTAGCATATTTTGTAGTAAATTCAGATTTCTTTTTAAACAGGTTTATTTTTTTTTAAAGGAACACTTTTTATAATTTAACTAACAGAATAAAAAAACTCCAATTTTAAATAAAATCAGATTCCTTTTCCTCCCCGCCCAGAAAAAAAATCATTGAAAAATTATATATATATAATTTTATATATTATATATATATAATGTATCCTGGTTTGGATGGGTATTTGCACACTGCCTTTCTCCAGCTGTGTAGAAATCTATCTATAGTCTAACATTTTAAATTAATATAGTTTGTGTGTGAATGATCCTCCTGCCTCATTCTGACTGGGTAAGTAGCATGTTTTAATGGTGCTAATCTCAGGACAGAATCTTGCAGTAAAAACAGTGATTAAATCTGCATTGGCAGACTGTAATTTACATACTAGTTATAAATGCACATCTAGATGAAGTGTGGGGAGGTACGAGCTCCTCTCCTGCCATGTCTTACATCTTCATTTTCCAGCTGGCAAATGTATGGGAGTAATTTTGCAACTCTGCTCTCATAGCATCATTGTGTTGGATTTTAAAATGAAGACTGTGATAAGTGTGAGTAAGATCACTTGCTCCTTATTATTCTCTTACCTGTAATGATTAACCACCACATGGCTTCTTCAACTGTAGAGCCTTGTGGTATTGTAACACTTCCGTATGCGGAGATTAACAAATAATATGGTTGTACTAGCTGAATAGGTTACAAGTTGCATCAAGCAGAGTATAATACAGTTATAATGCTTACTAGTCTAATTAATATTCAGTGTACTGCTGACCTTCCCTGTTACATTCTTTTCAGGGCTGCTTTTGAAAATCTTCCACCAAGAATACTCGATAGATTTAAAAAAAAGTTTTTTTGTGTTTTTGCAGGAGAAGTCCCAATATCCACTTATCCCAGTGAAAATGGCCTTTAGCAATTTGACATCAAAAGCTGCACTGCTTTATGATGAATGGATTAAACATGCTGGTGAGTCATTAAATCCTAATGTCCACTAACTTGAAGGCTTTTCAACAGCTGTGGAGTTGTGTTAAGCATAATTTTGAATTGCTAACTTAAAATAGCATTGTCTTCCTCTAATTACACCTAAGTTGTCAAGCTAAATGTTCACATGTCTAACTGTAAAGAAAAGTAGTATAATGTCATGCAGACTTTAGAGGTGTAACTTTCGCAATTACAAAAGTTGATTTGCTAAGGATTTAAAACTTCAGACACTGTGTGTACAGAATGGCTTTCCTAAAAAGATCTCTACTATCAGCAGAATTGCACTTTACATTTTGAAATTGTACTGGGACAGTCTAAAACTTTAATTTTATTTAATTATAAATGGAGTTACATTTTCTTAGTTAACCGATTTAAAGTATTCTGTTACAAAGTGATGTATTTTGCTCTTCCTGGTACTAAAGTAGCAAGTGAAAGAAAATGTAAACCTTGATAATTTATCGTTGTATGTTGAAAACTCCTGTAAGTGATTCACTGCATCAAGTTCCTGTTTTGAAAGGGAGTATTCATACTCTCTCAAAGTTCAGGAATAAGTATATAAATCATTCTGTGGTTTACCGTGAATGTTTCATAGTGCTGTATATTTGCTTAGTTCCATTTCTGAACTTGTATGTGTTGAATGTCCTGGCTTTTCATAATTCTATAGCTATGGAATTAGATGCAGGCAATGGAAAATACCATGGCTGTAGAGCATATGTTGCCTTGAACTGGACAAATAAGGCGAAATCTGAACAGAAATTCACTGTAAATATGAATGGCTGAAAGATGCTGTATATCTGGGACTGGGACGAATGAGTTCAGATTAATACCATAGCTGAAAGCTTTTCCCCCATCATCAGTGGGAATTGGGCACAGCTGGTGCCAGGGGGCAAGCTGAAAGTGAATGTAGGTGCTAGCCCAGAGGATAGCTCTGATGGACCAGAGGAGGAGGATGAATCTCCAGAAGCAGATGATGAGGATGAGAACAAGAAGTTGATAAGGACAATGTAGGCAGAGCAGCTGTAAGACTACAGACCTGGAGTGGGAGAAACTTCATTTGGAGCCAGGGGTGTCATAGTGAGTTCTTCTTCAGCCTAAAAATACACCATGAAGTGAAGATGCAAATACTGCACCAAGAGAACCTAATAGCCTGGTAAACTAACATGGAAGCTTCTCATCTAACACTCTGACTTCTGCAGTGTTAAGATGGCAGCCTTATGCAGGATTTTGGGTGGGTTAGTGGAGACTTCTAATTCTCTTTTGAGTAGTAAGGTTTTAAGAGTATATACGGTTTATCAGGTTCTGATTGTGTGTATTGAAATTTAAAACTGCTTTGTTAGGCAACAAGACAAATAAAATACTTGAATTAAAACTTGAGCCCTTTAACAAGTGGTTGTGTGGGTCCCAGAAGGAGATGAGAGACAGGGTCTCCATGCTAATGTCGTATGCTGCTTGTGTTAGGGTTTTGTTCTGCTGCCCATCACTGGAATAGGGGTACACTAAGGAGTTAATTGATCCCAGAAGGAGTTGCATTTAATTGAGGTGCTATTTTTGACCCATAAACAAACTACAGTTGGGTTTTGGACAGATTACCTGAAAGCCACTTCTCTCCTTGAGCAGCATCATAGCAGTTAGGATCAGATAAGTGCTCAAGATAACAGCTCTTCGGTTAAAATGGAATGGATCTGGTGGTAGGGCACTCTTGCTGAAGAATCCTTGACTCTGGAATTGAGTTGCTCACCCCATAGCCTGACAGAGCTTGGATATGGTGTCTTGCATCATGATGTGATGAAGACATTTGTTCTCCCAGGCACAGGCAGAGGGATTATTGGGAAGGAGCTGATGGAGTCGGTGAAAGGGAGTGGCTTGTTGTGAGGGCGTGGTGATCCTCTTACAGTTCTGATTACTTGCCTAGTGTGTGTGTGTTTGTTTGTTTATAGTGCCTAGAGCACTTGACTAATGCTTTGTAAATGTGAGCAAATAAATTAGAGAATTGAGCAGTTCTTTTAAAACATTGCAACAGTAAGTTGAAGGACTGGATTCATGACTTCACCCCAGTAATATGACAGCAAGCCACAAAAGCAGCAGAATACTAATTCAAAAGCCATGTTGGTATTGTTCAAAAACCTAACAACCCCCCCCCCCCCAAAGGTAATTGGTAAAAGCAGGGGTCCAAAACAACTAATCAGGTCACTATACTTCCCAGTGAAGAAGAAATAGTCAAGCCTTCCAGATCCCCATGATGATCCAGAATTAAAAAAGATGATGATGTCACTGTCAAAAGCTTGAATGTAGCTCCAACCGATGTCAATGGGGGAAACGGGGCTTGTAATGAGCAACTCTAGACACAGTACTTAACACCTTTTGTAAGCTACATGGGCAGGGATTCACAGCATTTTCTCCATATGGATAATTTTAATGTGAATTCTCCCTGTTTACCGTGCCGACTCAACTCTGGACCTACCAATCCCTGCACAAAACCAGATATTTCTGAGAGAGGGGTGGGGACAACTTTCAGGAATTGCAAGATTTAACAGGCACTATGTTATGGCTCTGCAGGTGGTAGATAGTGGGTCAAATCATCTGGTTAAAACTTCCAGGTTTAAAGCCATTCTCCAAACTAGTAAACCAAGTATGATTAAACACAAGAAAGGACAAAGTTCTTAAAAATAGGGGCTTTTCCCAATTTACAATTTGAAGTTCTTTAAGAATGTTCACATTTTCCCAAAAGAGTTTAATTTCACTCATACGCAGCCTGGATCAGTTGCTTGCAAGACCTCTTCCTCTTTTTGCTTTTGAACTACGTTGTCTTGTGACAATGCATACTTTCCATGGAGTGGAGATTGATGCAAGGGGTGGGAGTCAGATCCAATCTAGGACATGTGTGTGAATGGATGTTGGAGGAGAGTGATGATGTGATACACACTTTTCTCTGTGTGGAAACCCTGCTTCCAAAGTTTTTGTCAAAACGTGGGCTCCAATTGACGGCATCCAATAACTGGAGTTTTCATCCCAAAGACATCCAGCAAACAACCTTGAAAGTCACTCCATAGCCAGATTAATTGGAAGCTGTGCAGACTCCCACTAACCAAAACCTTTGCTGGGAAGACTCAGTCGCACCAATAGTGGGCATCAAAAATGTCTTAGGAGGAACGCTACAAATGTCGTCGTATGTGCAGCGGACCTAACTCTCAGTGCCAGATGAGTTTAAGGGGTAATTTGAGTGAACAAACTCCATAAACCAGGGGTCGGCAACGTTTGGCACGCGGCTCGCCAGGGTAAGCACCCTGGCGGGCCGGGCCAGTTTATTTATCTGCTGACGCGGCAGGTTCGGCCGATCGCGGCCCCCACGGGCCGCGGTTCGCCGTCCCGGGCTAATGGGGGCGGCGAGAAGCGGCGCAGGTGAGGGATGTGCTGGCCGCGGCTTCCCGCTGCCCCCATTGGCCCGGGACGGCAAACCGCGGCCAGTGGGGGCCGCGATCGGCCGAACCTGCCGCGTCAGCAGGTAAATAAACTGGCCCGGCCCGCCAGGGTGCGTACCTTGGCGAGCCGCGTGCCAAACGTTGCCGACCCCTGCCATAGACCAAGGGGGAGAGGGAGCATGAACTCTGCTTACCATCTATGGATGAATAAATCTGCAAAGTATACCTGTTAATAGATTTCTGTTGGTTTTTATCATGGCGAGGGAGGAGTATGTGAACGATGACTCTATCTGGGCAAATAGCTTTAGAATTACATATGAATCTGTCGGGAAAGGTTTGCTTAGCCAGCATGCCCAGAATTTTCTTCAAGGTGTGGACAGAGAATTGCCTGACAGTGCATATGAGATTGGAAGTGGGGAATTAGGCAATATCCTTTAATGATTATTTGTACTATTTGTGTGTGGGACAGAACAGCCAATTGTACCTGAGGATGATGTGGTGTGCAATAAAAGCAAGCACATGTGTAACTTTAAATGTAAGATTTTTGTGCCTGGTTAGTGGTGCAATTTATAGTACATCTCTACCTCGATATAACACGAATTCGGATATAACGCGGTAAAGCAGCGCTCCGGGGGGCAGGGCTGCGCGCTCTGGTGGATCAAAGCAAGTTCGATATAATGTGGTTTCACCTATAATGCGGTAAGATTTTTTTTGGCTCCCGAGGACAGCGTTATATCAGGGTAGAGGTGTATTAGTATAGCTGAGTATATATTAACGTTTTTCTCTACATTGCCAATAAAATGGCCTTTTTAATTTGAGTTAAACGTGAAGACTTAAACTGAGAATAAATCACTGCCAGGTGATGAATGGAAAGAAACTGACCTCTGGTCTCCAGAGATTATGTGGTCAAGGGCAGCAGTGGCTTTAATCACTTACCTTGATTGGTATTCCAAAGAATCTGGCAAGGACCAATGTTGGTTTATGAAGAGGCTAACAACCCTGGAGGTACTAAATCTTGTTAAAGCAAGTTATAAAAACCCAAAGCTAATAAGTGATTCTAAAACATGAGCAGTGAAAGCAGAAACAATTTAAGAAAAGAATTTAATCAAGAATTTAACAAAAGAATATCCTCATTGTTAAGTTAATGTAGATGTAAAAAGCATTATGAAAAACCTGTGGATTTTTTTTTTCTCTCTTCTAGATCCAAGAGTGGAAGGCTTCCTACTCATGTCTTCACCTGTGCCACAGACTATTATCATTGGAGCCTATATTTATTTTGTCACTTCTTTGGGACCAAAACTCATGGAAAACCGAAAACCTTTTGAACTCAGGCAGATAATGGCATTTTACAATTTTGGTGTGGTAGCCCTTTCAGTGTATATGACTTATGAAGTAAGTATTTCTTTATAATTACTTGTTTAACTTTTTTCTTCAGCTAGCTCAGCTACTATTATGTAATTTTTTTGGATACCGTAATTGTGACAATTAGCATAATTGATGAGAGAACCTCCCCGAGAAAAATCATTTGGCATTTTTCTTAGGACAAAGTATAGAAATTTAACAATGACTGTAAATGAAAGTTAAACACAGTCAAGAGGGTGATTGTATATTTTATATTAGACCATAATAGAACACTTTAAAACAGTGGTCCTCAAACTTTTGTACTGGTAACCCCGTTTACATAGCAAGCCTCTGAGTGTGATTACCCCCCCCTTTATAAATTAAAAACACTTTTTTAAAAATATATTTAACACCAATATAAATGCTGGAGGCAAAGCAGGGTTTGGTGTGGAGGCTGACATCTCACGACCCCCCATGTAATAACCTCGTGACCCCCGAGGGGTCCTGAACCCCCAGTTTGAGAACCCCTGCTTTAAAACCTGGAAAATATCTAGATTTTTAGTTTTTGAACTTCTTTGGGCGAGGAAGGTTAAACTAGACTGGCAGGTTGCATGCTTTGTTTATAGTCTTTTACTTTTTGTGGCTGCCACATGATAGAATAAGTTGAGATTTTCCACACCGCACAGGGAATGTTTAAGTGCAAGATCCTCTTCAATTAGTTTTTGGTTTTTAAATTGCACAATCGCACTTTTGTAATGTTGTAAATGATCCTTTTATTTACAAAATTTAGTCTAGGGTCTCAATCCATATAAAACAAGCTTTCTAGAATAATTAATAAAACCTTTCCTAGAAGAGTTCTGGGGTGTTTTGACTTGTGGCTCAACAAAAAGCTAGGCTTTTTAGGAGAAAAGAACATTTTTACTAGACCGTGATCAAGTGAGATGCATTGGGTTTAATGACCAAGAAAATAAATTTCTGTATGTGCATGGTGTGCACCTACAAATAATCATTTAGAGTTAACTCTTACACACTTAAAGAAATGCTAGTTTAAAGAGACTAAATTGGGACAATAAACAGTGTGGCTACTCAGCAATACTACAAGCAGCTGCCTGATAGTTTTCTACAACTGGCCAGCTGAAACAACACTATTGTGGTAGCTATTTTCATCTTTGGCATACTGGTTAGGGAATTTTTCAGATATTGCTGCCAAATTGGCTGTACTTCAGTTAACCCAGTTCCCATAACCTTCATAATGTGTTAGACTGAGCTTTTGCTTTTAAAAACAGTGCTCCAAAGTCTTTACATTTGTCTTTTTAAAAAAAACGGATACATTGGCTAATAATTGTTGTGCCAAATACCATAAATGCAAAGAAGGTTGAAAAGCATGCTTTCCTTTTGCATTTCCTGATTCCACAGATCTTGTTAGGGTTGTGCAGTTTTTAGGAGTATTTAAAAAATAAACACTTGCCTCTTTCACTTTTGACGCTAACGTGATATTTGATTTGCCTATCATTAAGCCTTTATTTAAAATGTCACAAAAGAATGCATAGATAACATATGCCAGATTGAATTAATTCTTTTCTTCATTGGCTATAAGCCATTTGTGGGTGTGTTTGGTATTCAGTTCACTTACAATGTTTGAAATTCTGTTGGTTTCAGTGTCTGCTTTGTTAAATGGGTAATCTTTTACTTGTCTTATTCAAGTGATGTTTGATTGAAACTACAACTCTTCACCTACCAGGAAAACTTGGTTTCCTATTATACATGCATGGATAATTATGATTAATTAATGAATATTCATTCAACACAAGTGGAGTTTTTATAGTATTGGCTGGGATTCAGGGGGTGAGGAAGAGAGAAGACACAAAGTGTAATATTTACAGTGCTGCTCTTGGCTGAGTTTTAATATAGTAATAGAAGGAGTATTAGATGCGACACCTATTACATTGATACTGTACATCTGCATGTGATCTCAAGACAGCTCCCCATATCTTCTGACCGTTATAGTCTAACTGGTATCACAAAGTAAATATTTTTGACAAGAACTCGAGATACTTGTGGTACCAAATAAAAGAAGTCCAGTGCTGATTCTTCTCTAGCCTCAAGCCCCTTCTGTTGGCTACAGACAACCAAACTCACTAAAACAGTTGCTGAAACAGGTTGTATGTGTATAAACTGAAGTTCAGCTGGATGTTGTAAATGGGGGGGGGGGGGGGAACCTACGGGGGAAAATTATTTAGTTTGGTAAAAATTTTTTTTTGGTAAAAATTTTTTTATTTATTTTTTTTTTTTTTTTGGTCCCCTATTATGGACTTTTTGCAAATAGATCTATGAAACTATGTGCAGTTTAACCTAGCATGTGAATTGGCCAAAATCATTAAGTGCATAGGGGACATCTGACAAATGTACAAATTGCAGTTCCAATTCTATGTGGACATAGTAACTTTTGGATGTTAATTCTTGTTACTAGGATTTCCTCATCATGGTGTGATATTATTTTATTACACTGTTGGCCAGTCACAAATACATGCTGAACAGGCTACATTGTAATACAAAGACTTAATTAGCTGAATTCCCTGGTCCTGCATGTACTGTATTTCCATTTGTAGAAAATCTGTGAAGAATTGAGTTACTTAACTTCTAAATAATAAAAATGTGGTTCTGTGTTAGTACTTGACTCTTTAAAAGTATCTTATGTATCAAAATGCCTGGATTCAATACCAATACTCACTTTTTGGGGGGGATGGTTTATTTGTTTCAATCACCTGCTTCCCCTAGTGAGAAGAGAGACACTGATCTAATGTCTGTTCGGGGAAGCAGCTATTTCTTCTCTTGTGGCACTGAGGCTTAGGTACACTGACGTGGGTATAGTTGGGGTTCTCATCCATATTGTCAAGTTATGAGATTCAAATCTCTACAGTGCTACAGCAGCCGAGTTTAATAGTGTTGCCATCCCACATTGAGGTAGATAACAGCTGACAAGCTGACTGACTGCACGGGCTTTTTTAATCATTATGTGATTATTAAGGTCAACTGAAATTAATGAATTTTCTCAAGTGATAAAGTAAATCTTTCCTTTCCCCCTTCTCCTTGTTACAGTTTCTTATGTCTGGTTGGGCCACAGGTTATTCATTCCGATGTGACCTTGTTGACTACTCCAGGTCACCTACAGCTCTGAGAGTAAGTAACCAAATGAAGCTAATTGTTATGCTACATTAACTTTTTATATTTTTGGAATGTTTTTAATGAAAATGCCTTGATGCATAATGAAGAGCACATAAGTGACTGTAAAGGGTGATGAAAGGGATGTTGGAGGCAACATGTGCTAGCAGGGTGGATTGATTTAAATCAGTGACTCAAATCACCAAGTGGAAACCTTAATTTAAATCTTCAATATTAATCAACTTTTCTATTTGTTCTTCAGTTCTTTTCTAAAGAAAGGTACATTTTCATTGCTTCATATAGCTCTTCAAACATGTTGATTTACAACTAAATAGATAGAACCTTTATGCTAGATTTGGTATATCTTTTTCTACCTAGGAGTACATATGTTTGTAAACCAAACAAGCCCTTAATACAATATGTGATATATTGTGCTATATTTATAAAGCTTGACCTCAAAATCAAATGTTTTCCCCCAGATTGTTTCTTTTTATGGAAAAGCAGCTTTTAACTCAAAGGTTTTGATAGAGACTCATGGATTCAGCGTATTTATTTTTTATTCAAATGTTTTAAGAAATTATATAAAGTGTAGACTTGACATATCTTATGTGATATTCAGATTTCATTAAAATGGTTTATTTAAAAAAAAATTAAATAATTTATCCAGTGTTTGCTTATTTAGTTCAACATTTTAAAGTTCCCTGAGGCTGAAAAGGCATTTGTTTTGCTTCCTTGTTTTTAAAGAAAACCAGCAAAAATTATACTGATGTTCTAATGACTTCAGTAGACTTGACCCTGTGTATTTTTTGGATTTTTTTAGATGGTTCGGACTTGTTGGCTGTACTACTTCTCCAAATTCATTGAATTATTAGACACTGTAAGTATGTAGTGACACAACCTGGTAAATACTGTGATCTCCATAGAGAAAAAAGGACATTGGAGTTTATAGCAATTGGATCGTACAGTAGCTGTACTCTCTTTGCTCACTAATCAGACCTCATATATTCAATCAACAGAATCTGTTAGTAAAGGATAACAGTGAGAGTGGAGAAACATTTCAAGCATTTCTGTACCATAAACTTTTAAGCCTATCTCCTCATTAGTTACAATGGGAAGTCTCTAAAAATGATAGCATGGTATGGCTCTTTTAAACTGTCCTGGGAAGTACTCCGTTAGGGTAGATGGGCTGGAAACAAGAGCTGGTTATGCTTCAAGTCTTCCTCCACTTCCTCCCCAACAACTTTCCCTCACGTTTCTCTCACATTGGCAGTTGGGGGGTCTGGCACAGTTGGGGGTCTGGGACTGTACCCACCTGCCTCAATTTAAAGTACCCATCCTGGCAGTCATTTGCAGTAACACAATGTTAACCTGACACTCTGGATTGTTTCTAAGGCCCAACTAACTAGAGCTCAGATCTCCTGTTGGAGGGACCAGGAATGCTGGAAATGGAAGTTGAGTGACCTCCCTCTCTTCTCTATCTACTGACTGGTGATCTTGAATTAGTCCTGGACCTGAAAAGTTATTTTCTTCATCTGAATCCTTCTAGTTGTATACTTGCCCTTGTGCCTTCTCGTTTATTTAGGTATCTATATCTCCGCTTCTTTTTAGTTTGATTGTGAAAGTTTAATTGCTTGAAACTTTGGCAACATACTAATGTGTTACTATTGTGCTGCTTAATTTACTATTTCTAGCCATATGAAAACAGTCTTGTATGTATGTTTTCTCTGTCACATCTGACCACTCTATTCCCCTCTTTCTGGGTGCCATCTTCTACCTGCTCTTGCCATCCGACTCTACTCTTTCTTTCTTTCTTTCTTTCTTTCTTTCTTTATTCATTCCCATCTATTGTATTCTACTTTTAGAATGTTTTTGCCCTTTGCTCCCTTAACAGTTTTCCTTGGCAGATTGATGGACATTTACTATGGCAGCACTATGTCCATAGAGAATATCCACATTCAACCCTCTCAATATTATCCCACCTTCCTTTTCACATCTTTGGGCAGTTATTGTCTCTGCAGTGCTCTTAACATGTCAAGTGCTAGATAGTCTGTCTTTGCCGGGAGCAGGAGGCTCAACCCTCAGCCCATCCACTCCACCCCTTCCCCCAAGCTCCCACCCTGGACCCGCCTCTTCTCTCCTCCCACCTCCTTCCCCTTTACTTCGCACATTACATCCTTGCTCCTCCCCCACCCCTCACTTCTGAATGCTGCAAGCCAGCTGATTGTCGCAGGCAGGATGCAGGGGAGGGAGGGGGGAGGCGCTGCGCACCGAGTCCTCGCTCCTGCCTGGGGCAATCAGCTGGCTTGCAGCGTTTAGGAGGCAGGAGGGAGGGGGAGAAGCTAGGACTTGGCGTGCAAGGCTCTCCCTCCCTCTCCCGCATGCCTCCTGCTCGGGGCAATCAGCTGGCTTGCGGTGTTCAGGAGGCAAGGGAGGGAGGGGGAACCTGCGTGCCGAGTCCTCGCTCCTCCCCCCTCCCTCCTAAATGCCAGAAGCCAGCTGATTGCCGCGGGCAGGAGGTGCGGGGAGGAGGGGGAAGGCACTGATCTGCGGGGTCTGCCGGGGGGGTGGGAGGCGTGCGGGGGGGGGGGGGAGGGGGATATCGTAGGGAGGCTGCCAGCGGTGGAGAAAGCAGGCAGCCAATCAACGTAATAGTGGAGCATTGCACAACTTTAAATGAGCGTGTTTCTTAATTGTTTAGCAACGTAACAACGTTAACCGGGATGACTTTAAGTGAGGAGTTACTGTACTGTGGATGAAGAGTCCTAGAAGGAGAGGTGGTTGTGGTCTAGTGGCTTGAGCATGGAGCTAGGAGTTGAGACATCTGAACTGATCAGAAATGCTGATCTTCTGCAGCATTATTTGTAATAGAAGTTTAGATTATTCAGTGCCTTTGAAAATCAGCCCCTCAGTCTGTCACTCAATTTCCACATAAAATGAGCATAAGTGCAAAGAATTTTAATGTACTGTGTTGAGCAACCTATGTCTGTGCGTACAACTGCAAACTACTTTTACGTGTTACTTTTCTAATCTCTTATTCTTAAAACTATTTCAGATCTTTTTTGTTCTGCGAAAGAAAGAGGGCCAAATTACATTCCTGCATGTCTTGCATCACTCAATCATGCCGTGGACCTGGTGGTTCGGAGTCAAATTTGCTGCAGGTAGTCAAGAGAGCTAAAATTATGCTATATGTGTCATAGTAAAACCTCCATACGCTATAAATGAAAAACATGTTCAAATGGACACTGTTAATTAAAAAAAAAAATTACTTGGTCATAATTTGTATCTACTAGAGTTACAAGCAATGCCCAATGATTACTGTACCTGAACTAGATTATAAGGGAGGGAGAAATCTTCCAGTTGGCTCATTTGACAACACATTGTGTATAGTCATTTCCCCCTGTTACTGGGGGTTGAGGTGGGGGGCAGCTAGGGGCAGAAGGGGTACCATACCAATGGGGAGGTTGTGGTTTGTAAAACCCAGCGGGGGAATTGTGGGGCAGGTACTTTATTATTGAAACTATTTCAAAAAATAATTGAGTAGATTTCATGTTGACATTGTCCCTTGGAACACACAAATCTAATCAGAGGGGAGAGTGTTTTCTCATCATTCTTTCCCTCTATAGCCTTAATTTTATTTAGAAATTATTCTAGTTTTTGTTGCAACTATTTCTGACTGGCCTTTGGGAGCAGAACTGTAGCCAGAGATAAGGCTGTAACTTTTCCAGAGCTAGTTAGATACAGTGATATCTGTTTGTGGAGGGCCAGCAACTTAAAAGATTTGGAAATTCAGCCAGATAGCATCCAAATGTTTGGGAACTGGGAAAACCACCTGCTGTTTTTCCCTCATCTCGGTCTTTACCCTAACATTATAAATCCCTCCGCTCGCCTCAACTGTCTCTCCACAGAGCAGAAATGACAAAAATCCAGAGATCCTTGCATCAGAAGCTTGTAGAATACATGGTCTTTCTAACCTGGGGCTTTACAGTGTAACGGACTTAAGGCTGCATCTTGAGCTAGGAGCATGATTCTCCAGCTCACATACGTATACCTGCAGTAGCTTGATGAGCGCTAGTGCACATATAAATAGTAACCTTACTACGGCCAGACATGCAGTGTCGGGCATGGCTTGCCATGAAGAGTATAAGCATCCTGAAAATAGTGGGTACATACTAGCTAAGTTGTGCTGCTGCCCATTGTACCACAGTGATGCTACTATTTATACTAATGCCAGCTCTCATCAAGCTACTGCAAATGTGTACGTGAGCTGGGGAATCATAGCCCTTGCTTGTAGTATAGACATAGCCTAAAAAGAGCATACAGCTTGAAACCTGCAGAGAGAATGCAAGCCTGTTGGAACCCCTGATGGGGGATTTTATTCCTAGGGGTGGTGTGTCTGGAAGGGGTTACTAGTTGAAAAATCAGTGGAGACAACAGAAGTACTTGTCTGGGCATAGTTTCCTTTTCTGTAACATTTCACCCATCTTCCTTGACATTGTTTTTTTTCCACAGCTTTGATGCTTAATTGAAGGAGAGAACCTTTGCCTACCTAATCCCTCCTGTGTATATTAGTTGCATGCATACAAAAATATGTCCTGAAAGAGGTACAAAAGCTTTGCGTGGATTCCATGGAAAGTTGTCTAATGTGCAGTTAGCTAATGAAGGAGACTGCTATATTTTCACTGTGTTTGAGTCCAATTTCTAATATATAAAGAAACTCTCATGTTTTGAACTGCATCCTTTTCCCCAAATCAGTGGTACTGTAGTACTAAAATTGGAGTTACCTTCCTCCGTTTACAAATCAGACCATTTTAGATCTGTTAATATAAAACACATTAATCTGGTATGCCCCGCACTTAACAGTACTCCCCCTCAAAAAGATTACATTACCCATACTGTTAATTTCCTGCCCTTTAGCTGGGCTTCAGAATGGTATACCAGCTGTGCACTTGTTCCATGACCAGGCATCTCAGACTTAAATCTCCTATGTGGTAATCTGGCAAATGCTTTCCACAAAGTGTGAGAGATCCATTTTGACTTGAGTCAGTAATATTCCCTTATGTAATCTTTAGAGTATTGTTTCTTTCTCAAAGCTTTATTGCCTATCTTTTAAACTAATCTTTCCAAATGTTCTCTCTGATGCCTTAAAATAATTTCCAAGAATTTCAGTACAACTGATGTTTATCTTGTATTTCATTTCCTAGTTGTTTCTTTCCTTTAAATAATAGCATTATGCTGTCTACTGCCCAGCCCTCTGACCTTGTTCTTAGTCCAAATCATCCAAATGCTTTTTTGACGAGATGAGGATCTTCTCCTTCTTATGACCTGACAAAGCGAATTGAAAACCATTTTTATGCAGTGCAGCGACTTTCTTCTGTAACAGTATTTTTGTAATGTTGCCTAGGTAGCTTTTTTCTAATGTACGGTAACACATTTTGAGGCTTCTTCCATGAATTTTCACTGTGCAGCCTAAAAAAGTAAATTTAGTCTCAGAAAAGCAGTCAAATTGTTTGGGAATATGTGACCTAGAAACACAACATTTCAGAGAGAATTTTCAATTAAAACTGATGATGGTCATCTGTGTAGGGGGAAAGCTCCACTAACTTCTCTAATCATTAATAAAGGAAACATTTATTTTTAAAATTAGGGCTAGTTGAAACTGTTTTTGATACATAATTGGGCTTTCAACCAAATTATTTTTTTGCTAAAAGTTTTTTCATGGATTTCTCACCTGGAAATGTAGAATGTTTTGTATTTGAATTTCCACCAAATAATCAAAATGCTTTTCTCTCAGTCTCTCTATAAACCATTTTTTGACCAGCTATATTTAAAACTCAATTCACTTCTTAAATATTACTACTATGGCCAAGATAATTTAACCCTTTTGGAAACTGAGCAGGAGAGAGGGTTCTGGAGAAGGAAATATCTGCATGGATCCCCTCAATGACGAGTTCCTTCATTATCATTCCATTTAATGGGTTTGGTCCCAAACTTGAGGGTTGCATGGGCAGCTGAGGTCACATATCTTGAGGTCCCACACTTCTGTCCCTTGGGTCTTCCCTGGTCCTGGGAACATGGATCCTCTGGAGCTGTCCCCGGAGAGTGACTCAAAAGAATAGAGAGTAGAGCCTTGAGCTGTAGTACCTTTACTGGGAACCTCTAAGGGCGAGAGGTAGGATTGCTATATGGTTTCAGCCCCTGGACTTATGAAAAGCCAATCAAGGGATCTAGAAAAGAGGTAGAGCAGGAGGGATGATGTCGCAGAGGTGTTTGAGCCCCCTTCATGTAACACACTAACAAAAAACTTATTTGCATTCAGTTAAACTAATTACACTTTTATTACAGCTTCAGAAAATTGACTTACCCTAGTAAAATGCTGCAATGTTTGTATTGGCTAAAATCGTTACATAAGCATTTGCTGAGAAGAAAGGAAACTGCTGAAATCTTTCAGAGTTGGTGACTACAGAGCTTAACTTGAATCTTTGTGTTTTATGTGCTAGTGAAAGTCGGAGACCCCTCCACACAGAGCCTCATGCTTTTATCTAGTTTTCTACTTAACTAACACAAGGCAAAAACCTTGCTTGGTAGCTAGACACAGGATTGTTTTTTTAGGATTGCTGGTGTAACAATCTTGGACTATTTTTATTATTCTACAGGTGGGTTAGGAACATTCCATGCTCTGTTAAACTGTGTTGTGCACGTCATCATGTACAGCTACTATGGACTCTGTTCACTGGGACCAGCCTATTATAAATACTTGTGGTGGAAAAAACACATGACATCTATACAGCTTGTGAGTATTGTGTCTGAGCCAGACTTTTTGCAGTCAGTCAAGTTGTATGTGAGTGAGTTCTTAATGTCACTTCTATGAACGTGGTTAAGAATTATTTTTACAATGGCACAAAAGAGTTTTACCTTCACTTTTCAACTGAGTTCAGCAGAAATCCTGAGACCAGTCAACTGTGTAAATAAAATCTGTTGACCTGATTTCCAGAGGTTCTGAGAACCCACAGTTATCTTTGAAGTCAGTGGGAGTTGTAGGTACTCAGTGTATTTAATTGCTTTGTACTCTAAGTGTATTGATAAAGAACTATTTGTCCATTTAAGAACTGTTGGAGTATGAACTCTCACTAGGAACAAAGTGTGTTGGGTTTTTTTGTTTTGGTTTTTTTAAAGAAATTTGCAAAACAGTATTAAATAGGCTAACAGTTTACATTTTTTTAAAAAGGAAGGTTACAAGGACTATTTCTTAGGATTTATCTTCCTTTAAAGTAAGGTAAACATTTGGGTCTACAGAAGTTGATGATATCTCTTTAATTTGGATTTGGCCTTATTAAGAAATAACTGAATTGTTTGAAGCATTTTTATCATAGCTATTGTAATTGAGCATTATGATTTTCATCTGACAATCTTTCTTAAAAAAACCCTTCTAAATTCTGTGCCTCAATATTGTGTGGCCCTGAGTTCTCCAAATAAATCCTAGTGTGGAAAGGGGAAACAAAGGAAACTTTTTTTTTTTTTTTTACCATTATCAACTTGATTACCTTTTAAATTTCTTTGGCTGCCATTTTGTTCTTGCACTAAACAAGAGTACCCCCGTGACCTTCTGTTCCATTTTATATACTTTAGACATGCTACCATTTTTGTTTCCTCTTTAAACTAAACAGATATAATCCCTATTAAAATCTTCTATAGGAAGAGAAGTTTGTTTATGCCTCTGCTCAATGGCCTAATACTTCTAGTTTACCACATTATTATGCAAGTAGTCAATGGGACTAGTCAACTTTAAGGGGTGGCAAAATCAATCCCTCTGAGAATGTGCCACCTTGAAAACAGCTCCAGCCAGGCCTTTCCTTCTGACTGGTAGGAAGAGTTCCTTCCCTGGTCTCCCTGATATGGATCTGCTCCCCTATCCTTGTACCATGATGATGTTTATAACTTTAAAACAAAAAAAAGTTACTTCATTTAAAAAAAAAACCACCTCTCCCTGGCCAAGTAGGAGAGTGGAGTTTTGCAGGACTACACAAATTCTATTTCTCATCAACCTTCTCTTTTTGTGTGTGCGCACGTTATGCTGACAGCTATTTAAACTTCTCTCTAGTATATCTTTATTGGATATTAGGAAAAACTTTTTCACTAGGAGAGTGGTGAAGCACTGGAATGGGTTACCTAGGGAGGTGATGGAATCTCCTTCCTTAGAGGTTTTTAAGGTCAGGCTTGACAAAGCCCTGGCTGGAATGATTTAGTTGGGAATTGGTCCTGCTTTGAGCAGGGGGTTGGACTAGATGACCTCCTGAGGTCCCTTCCAACCCTGATATTCTATGATCTTTTTACATTTTTTTTTTAAATCATAATGCATAACTGAGCATATTTTTCCTTGTCTGTTTCCTCCAGGTTCAATTTCTTATGGTTACAGTTCACATAGGACAAATCTACTTTATGGATGATTGTCCATACCAGTATCCAGTTTTTATATTCATTATTTGGCTCTATGGCTCTATGTTTTTACTCCTGTTTCTCCACTTCTGGTATCATGCTTACACCAGAGGGCAGAGACCACCAAAGACTATGAAAAATGGAATCAGCAAAAGCAAAGATCACTGAAGCAATGTTTCATCTATATAAATGTGTACATCTCAGATCAGTAACTTGTACTACTTGACAATCAAGATATTTAGGTGCGCACTACACTGTGTACATTTTACATGTTTTTCCAGAACAGAGCTTGTATTTTTACAATAAGTTATTTGGGTTTCTGATGTTGCGGGGTGGGGGGAGGGGTAATTTTCTGATTAAAGATTTGCAGGTTTTCAGTGACTTGCTGCACATATCTAGAGAAATTCTCTTTTTGCCTAGAAGAAATGAATATTTAATTGCATTCTTACAGGTGAGATGCATATAAATAAAAAGATCTTCTTTAAGAAAATGTGTATGATAAGTACAGAATACTTTGAGCACTAAGAAAAGGTATAAAGAGCATTCATTTTAACTGATATCATAAGCTGTTGAAACTGTAGTTTAATTTTATTGAAATAACCATGAAAAATCATTGTTACATGCATAATTTATAGAGACTAAAACACATTGTTAATATAGTTAATACCTGTAAACATTCATATTTTTTGTACAAACTGTACCATATTAAAGAATGTAAGTTAAATAAAACCTTGGCAGATTAGTGTGTTTTTAAAAAAAAAAAAGATAGATTTTTGGATTATAAAGTCTTTTACTAAAATGATTTAAGTTAATGAACTTTTAAAAATGTTTGTTTTTTACTTAATCGAACATAAAAACTCTTTTGATTTAACATACAGTCAAAAAAAAAAGTGATTCATTGAAGTAGAATAACAATCTTACCTCATACTATTCAAAATTGTCTGTAGCTATATTTTGATATCAGCAAACAGGAATGTTTACTGGAAAAAATATCACGCAATTCAACAACCAAAACCGTATTACATTTTTAGAATAGGTTTTGTGTAAAATACAAATGGCAGTTTCATTACTTTATTTTGCTGTATTCTTTCTCCTTTCCACTGCCTGTGGAAATGAATGGTGCCTAATGAGAAATTGTTTTGTAAAATTCATGGCTAAGTTTCTCTGTTAATAGCAGAAGTGCCTCGTTTTTGCTGTGTGGTACTAAATGAACTGTTCAAAGAGATTGCAGACTACACAGATTTATGGAGAGGGAGAAGGGGCAGATGATTGTGTACTAGTTAACTCCAAACTATGCAGAATGAACTGATAAGGGACTGGTCAGAGGGACATGTCAGCTGGCTTAGTAGCAATTTATAGAACCTAGAGCTATATGCAGATAGTGTCCCTCTACTTCTGTGAGATGGTCAAGGGATGACTATTATGCAGAACTAAGCTAAATTATATTCTGCCTTGAGATGCACACCATACAGCATTGATTGATTTTGTTTTTGTGACAACTCTCACTAGTGATGGGCTGAAATCTATCTTGTACTCTGCTCTGATCTGCTGGAGTTGTAATGTTCTCTAAAATGTGTCTTCTGACCCACCCGTTTGTATTAGTGGTTGAAGAACTCCAAAAAGGCATGTTTTCTTGTTATATGTACAGGATTACCAGAATAGTGTTGCAAGTGACTTCTTATAAAATAACATATCTGAGTCTTCCTTATTGAACTAATAAACATAGATTTGATTCTTGTTTTTCTGCCTTGTTAAATGTTAAAGTGGTATATGGGGACTTAGTTGCTACTTGAAGACTGTTAGACATATATTTCTAATACTGTTTTCTTGTAACAAAATAGATCACAATGCTGCAATGCTTAGTTTGAATTTCTTTATTAATTTTATCTTAATCTGTGTAAAGGACTGAATACCCCCAATGAGTTGTTTTTTAATAACATGATGAAAAAACTCCATCGAAGTTGTTTTGAAATACTGTAATAAGATATTAAAGAACTAAGATTTATACCTATCTTCCAGCATATAATTATTAATCTCTTAAATGAGTGTTTTATAACTCGTATTTCCAAACTTGCTGGGTGAGTGAAGTTTGATTTACTGTTTTGGTGGATTTTTTTTTTTTTTTTTTAAGATGAATTGGCAAACAAATCTTGGAGAAGACCAAGATACACACTTGTGCTAGCACTGCCCATCTTTCTATGAGAGTAATGTATGTACAGTCACTATTTACATGGAATACTAGGTTTCCAAAAATTACTCCTCATGCCTGGTAATTTCTAGAAAACATTTTCGGGAGGTGATGGAGGTGGGGAAAGGGAAATAAAGCTACATTTTCCTTCTGTGTAGGTGTGCTGAGGAGAGGCTGCTACTGCTCAGTTTTCTTACTGTAAAAGCACTGCTGTTCTAACAGACCCCTGAAGAGCAAACATTCCCTACTTCAGTAATTCCTTATTCACATACTGGATTATTTTTCCATGTCTTATGTGGCCAGGCCAGACTTTGTAGTCAGCCCTCTTTGCCCCATGAAGCCTTATTTAACCAGCAAACAAAAGAATAGGTAGACATCCAGAAACAGGTCAGCAACACTCTTTTTTTCTTAAAGGTGAGTAGTGATGCATAGAATTGTTTTATCTCCATCATAGTATGCACGCCTGACTCACCCCCAGGCAAGAGAAGGAGCAACTTTAGTTTCCCAAGTCCTTTGACCTACTTCTGTCCACCTCAAGGTTGTTGAAAGTAAACATCTGAGTTGGTAACAGTTGAAGGGGAACTTATCCTTTCAGAGGGGTGGTCCTGATTCATCCTGTAGGTTTGTATGCATGTGTAGTATGTTATAGTTTAAGTACCTCCAAATTATTCTCAAATTCACTACCTTGCACAAAACCCTTTGGCCACTCAAAACCACAGAGCCTAATGTAGCACTTTTAGTCACTCCTCTTTAATAACTAGAGGCTTCTCCCTAAGGCCAATACATTTTTGTATAAAATGAATCAGTTTGTCTCTGTGCCCAAACCATGCTTGGAAAAACTCAGACCCACTCTCTATTATGTTTTAGGTCAGAATAAGTGGGTAGAGAAAATGGAACAATCCGTATGAATGGGTGTCTACGGATATTGAGGGAAATTGGTTTGAGTCTCGTTTCAGAGGTTTAGCTGAGGTATTAGAGCCCTCTGCTGGATGAAACTCTAACTTTAGGAGTTTCCTGAAAACTCAGTGCTCACTGTCTGTATTACATAGTGTACATGACACCTTCACTTTATAAAATAGTGGCTAAAATCAGTTCACAAAGCAGGATTAATGTTTTATTGGGAAGGGCGCTTTCTAGACATATGAAGACCAAGCTCCGATTCTGAAGTGTTTACAAACTTATATAGATAACATCCAACTAGGGAAGTGAGAGAGAGAACAAGTAAAACAATACTGTTCATTAGTGAAGCTAAGCAAGGCATGTTTTAGGGTTTATTGGCCTCCTGGAAGAAAGGTGTTCCTGAGAGCAATTTAGAAGAGAGGGTGAAGGCATAGAGGGCAGTAAATTAGGCCTAGTTTAAATATGACTCGGACAATGGGAAGAAAATCATTGAAAGGAGTTTAAATGGCTGGTGAGGGGAGATTATTTTTGGACAGCTCTGGGGTAGAAAGGTGGATATCTGGGATGCCAGAGCTGGCTACTTGTAATAGAAGTGTTAGGAAAAAGTGACCAAGAAAAATATTTGATTGAAAAGATGGGCGGGGGAGAAATCAGCAAGAATTTGTAGATGCCATGTTATCCTTAAACAATCAGTTTCCCATTGCCAAGATTATCAGATGTAGCAAACTTTTCACAAGACTGAAAATTCTCTAATATAGAGTGCAGCAGCGGTAGCTCAAAAGTGGCTCTAGGGTGTGTGCACCCATTAATTTTCTTAAAGTAGCAGCAGAGAATTTTAATGTAGTTTTAGTATCATTAAGAAAAAAGTTACTCTTCTGGCTGGGAAAACAAACAAAAAAGCCCCCTCAGGCACTAGTCTATACATCATTCCCTTGTGAGAGCCAAATTCAATTTTAAATTTTGGTCCGTAAGCCATGCCTATAACATTAGAGCCATATACTACTGTTACCAATGAGATTTGGACATGTACTACTTGAAGGTACAAATATTGTAGTAAGTAAAATGTCAGTAAAATTTCCTGTTTGTCAGCATTACTGAGTGAGGAAAAATGGTATCAAGGAGCACTGCTGTATAAATATTTAAATAGTCATTGTGTCAGAGAGAATAACTCCTGGCAGAAGGTGATACAGGCCAGGTCCAGTCCCCCTAGTCCAGTGACTCGATTTAGTTATACACATGGGAACAGCTTCAACAGGGGACGCTGTGGGAGCTGTGCGTCAGAACAGCCCATAGTTCAGTGATTAGAGCACTCAACTGAGATGTGTGGGAGACCCATGTTCAAACCCTTTCTCCCCAGTAGCAGGCAGAGGGGGAAATTGAACCTGGGTCTCCTACAATCCAGATGACTGCTCTAACCACTGAGCTAAAAGTTATAAGAGAGATGGCAGCAGCACCTCTGCCTCCTCTGGCAGCCAGCTTGTGATCGAGACCCAGGCCTGAAAGCAGCTTCCTGAGCACACCTACTGCACTGGGTCTCACAGGCGAGCTAGGTGCTCCTTGGCCTATCTTGCCTGGGTTCGTGGATAACACAAGGACTTAGGTGTGAGATAGACATCTGGATGCCCAGAATGAGTAAGCAGTGCACATGCCCGGGGCAGAAACCTAGGGTATCTCAACACAGCAATCAAAAAACGATGGTAGAGTCTCATCGACCAGGTCTACAGACTTGGCTCATGCTATGGTGCTAAAAATGGCTGTGTGGAGGTTTGAGCTCAGGCTGTGAACTCCATCCCCGTGTGAGGCTTCTGAGCCTGAACATCTACACAGCTATTTTGAGTGCCATAGCGTGAGCCCTTCAAGCCCAAGTCCACAGACCTAGGCTCTGAGATCGCTGCTCAGGTTTTCTGCTTGCTGTGTAGATGTAGCCATAGGCACCTAGGGAACTTTTACAGTAGAAATTTAGGTGCTGAGTGAGTTTACGCATCTATAGTGGTAGGCAGCAGCTGCATGGTGTTCTGTGGATCACAGTGGTGCCTAAAACTGGGACTTAGGTGTGTAGGTACCTCTGTGGATCTGGGCCTTACTGGGGTTAGCCTTCACTGGAGGCAAGTTTCCAGGTACCTGCAAATGATTCACATGTTAGGTAGGGCTTGCTAAGCAGATGGCCTGGAGACAGCAACCAGTAGAAAGTAGAAGCAACAGCTATACACAGCCATTCAGCTAACCACCTATGGACATACTCCTACACCCACATATCTCCATATCCCTCCACATCTTTTCCCCTTGGTTTCCCTTACCTATCCTCTACCAGCCCCTCCACCATCCCTCAGTTATCATTAGTTCTACTCAGACACTCCCTCCAAACCCAGCTACCCTGGTTCTTGCCCTTGATAGCCTTGCAGCTGCTCCTAAAATACCCTTTGGCACTCACTCACCAACAGCAGCTGCCACATTTTGTGCTGTTCCTTGCCCTACCCCTGGCCCTGCTTGGAGAAAAGTGTATTGACTTGAAGCTGAAGTTTATGATCCTATACAAATTTGATGATGAGCCAATTTGCATATTTGCAAATCATTTGCATAAAATGTCACATGGAGCTGCATGAAGCTTGGCAGTGATAGTGATATTTACAATGCTAGTTCTAGCTAGAACCAGCATTGTAAATACC